ATGTAATTGCTCTAAGTTGAAATAGCAATTGATTGATATAACATTAACAATATTGCAAAATGCTTAACATGATATATTATAATCAATAAAAAAAAAATTATTTATCGTAGTATTTAAAAAAATACATACATATCATTATTTACCATTTTAGTAATTTTTAATTAAATATTTTCTTATTTGGAGTAGATCTACACTATGCATGAAATGCAGAGTGATCTCCTGTCAAGGGAATTTCCTTATGTCAAGAAAATCCCAAGCTGCTAGCCAAAAAGATATGGGTCGTAATATATCAAAATTTCTCTATATATCTAATATTAACGATCATGTTTTATAAGTAAAATTTCATTCTGAAAACTTTTACTTAGAGGTCAAAAGTTAGTCACAATAGTAAATTTTTGTGTTATTTACATTTTTTTTTACAATTTCTTATATTTTTCACATTTGGTTTGTTACACAAGATCCTGTTCTTTGGCTTTCTTGACATAAGGGTACTCCTGTCAAGAACTTCATTAAAGAACAAAAATGTTCAAGTTATTGATGGTATTTATCTTATTTGTGTATATATAAGAAAGAAATTATATGAAAAAAATTAATTCGCAGTTGTATATTATACATATATATATTTGGATTTAACTCGTATACTGATGACCAGTCTAATATTTTAATATAAATAGAAAAATCAAAATCACATGCAAATGAAAAATATATACTATGTTGACTGAGACTTGGTTAGTGAATTTCGTAAATTTAAAGATATTTTACCAAGTTTATAAAATTAGATTTGGAATTAATTAAATTTAAACATCACTATAAAAATCCATATAAGTAGATCTTCATTAAACTTCACATCTTTTTCGATTTTTTCTTTTTCCTTGAATATGTCAGTCAAAAATTGAACACTATAATAATCATAATAAAATGAAAAGAGTTCGAACTAATAAAGCGACTCGAAAAGTTGCATTATGAAAACGTATTACTTATAATATTTCTGAAACCTTACAAAGAAGAGAATGTTCACAAAATACTGTTAGCCAAGCTTTACAAAATAATGTTAGCCAAGCTTTACAAAATAATGTTAGCCAAGCTTCACAAGTTTCAATAAATGGAGATGATAATGGTGAAAGTTTACAAGAAAATTTTTCTGATAGTGAAAGTTTGTTCTCTGATAAAAGTCAACATATCAATGATCTCAAATACAATTCTTCTATGGCTTCAGATACATCTAGTAGCAGTGATCAGTTGTTAGTTACAGAAGAAATTGAATTACAAACAGAAGAAGAAAAAAACTTCAACCAAATTATAGTAAATAGTAGAATCAATTTTCAGCCACTACCTGGAGAGTATGGCCTATATTTTAAAAATTTCATGGAAATGTCATTTTTCACTTGGGTTACCCAGCATATGATTAGTAAGTATTAGTATAAAGACAAGTTTCGTTATTTTTTTATTTATTAATTATTGTTTTATTTGCTTAATTCTTATTCTATTAACTAATTATTTTTTATTTTGCTTAATTCTTATTCTATCAATTAATTTATTGTTTTATTTTGCTTAATCCTTATTAATATGATTAGCAACTAATACATATAAAGACCTTGTGTTTATTATCCAACATCCCAAGTTCCGATCTAAACATGTAATTAGGAACATCAAAGGTTGAAGTTATTACATCGCAGACTCCCCTTACAGAAAATTAAGTGTCATTAAATTCTGATTCAAAATCTGAAAACACCATCAATGTCAACACCTATTAAGAATGCTTATACAATTTCTGTAAGCAAACATATAAGGAGGGTTTTAAGTAATAAAGTTTTGAGGCCTCAAATGTACTTTGGGCCTGGTGTTGAAGCAGAAACGAAAGAAGAGTTCTGGCACGGTGACATCTGGCAACAATCACCCCTTTTTGGCTTATCATCCATGTCAATAAACAATGATACTATGAAAAACATGCATATGTACACTTGCTGGCAAAATTCTAACCATTATATAATTAGTTTGTTCACTAAAATTATTTTTAACTTATTGTTTTATCCAAATATTTTATAATCTTTATTAAATAAACAATATTTATTTTATTTTATTTTATTTATTTATTAATTTATTTTTATTTTATTTATTTTTTTTTTTTGGTGTTTGGCTTGCCAGCAAGCATAATTTAAATGATAATAGTTTAACTGGTACCTAATAATTATAACTAATAAATATAAATTATATTTAGAATTATATCAAACAGAATCGTTTATAAAATACAGGGACAATGAAATAAGAATAGGAAGAATTATAGCAATAGACTCAACTTCCAGTGGAATCAAATTGAAAGTTCAATTTCTTTATTTTGGTTCTGAACTCCCAAAAAATTTTTTAAGCTCAGCAAGAGCAGAAAGGTCACGAAATGGAGAATTATGGTTAAGCGAAGTGACCTATTTAATTGATCTATCTACTGTTTATTGGGCCAGTTATAGTTTGGCTTCAAGATACACCCAAGCCATCCAATTATCAATTTTGTGTGAGAGAGATTTTATATAGCCATGAAGGTCAGTGGAAAATAAGGAACTGTAAACTTCAGCACCACCATCCAATTGAATATACCCAAATTCCAGCATCAGCATCCAATAATGTACCAGCATTAAAGATAATGCTAGACATTTACCATAATAATTTTGGCATGTTCCACAATGTATATCATTCATTGGGCGCAATTTACTTTCAATTTTGTAATATGCCCTTACATCTAAGAAAACAATTTAAAAACCACTTTGTTTTGGGCTTTGTTCCATTCAGAGATAAATTTGACGATGTAATGAAACCAATTGTAAATGAAATTAAAATTCTAGAAAAAGGTACTTTAATAAATATTTCAGGTCGCAACATATAGATAATTGCTGCTTTAGGTGTTGTAATCTCTAACCTCTCTCAGGGCAATGATCTTGCGGATACGAAATGTCATATTAGTAATCTAGGGTGTAGGAGTTGTCTGGTGCCTAAGGAACAATTAAGTAATCTTAATTTTGATGTTAAGCTTAATTCCTGATATCATCATATTACAGATAAGAAAATAAGTAAATTAGAAAACTTAATCAAAGAGAGGGCATCACAAAAAATGATTAGTGACTATTGTATAGAACATGGTCTAAGTACATGTCCTAGTATTCTGAATTATCTGACACGAAACTGTCATTTACAAACATCTCAAGATGCATACCATGCTGTAGATAGAAAAGTACAAAAATTAATAGATTGTACTTTTCAATATTAAATCCAAGGGGGCAAAGTATATTTTTAAATTATTGGAAAAGCTTTGAAACACCTTCTAGTTGGGGTCGTCTTCCTAACCTAATAAAACACTTTAATAGTTTTATGTTCTCGGATTGTTTAAGATTAGCGATGATCATATCATTTTTATTACGAAGGTTTTTAACAATATTGCATATCAAAGATACTAATTTGGCTTTTCTACAAAAACAACTTACAACATCAACAAACAAGATACCATCATCTACACAAATCATAAACAAAATCGTTTTATGCTGAGTGGCCATCACCAAAGCATCACTTTAAGTTTCAGCTTTACTTTTACTAAACAAACATATAAAGAATTAGATAATGCTTTAAAAATTGAGCATATTCTTTTACTAAAAATAAGAATCATATAGCTTGCTTTGTGACAAATAATGTATATCAATATTTTTATATTCTTTGTAATACATGTGGAGTTTTTTTTTTATTAAAAAAAAAGAATATCGATATCAATATGAGGTCCGTCGGTGCTAAATTAGGAGACTATTTATGTATATCAATATTTTTATATTTTTGTAATACATGTGAGAGTTCCTTTTTTATTAAAAAAAGGCATATTGAATATCGGTATGAGATCCCGTCGATGAGATTCAGCTATTCTAAATTAGGAATCTACTCGCTGATATAATGCAACAATTACTTTTTTTAAAAAAATTCTTTAAAAAAATCAAGGTGGTTTTAACAATGGCAGATGATTTTATTATAAGATGTGTCAATCTAATTTTATTGGTGCAATATGAAACATAATTAACATTATTTATTTTATTGTATTTTAGCTTTTTCCGAATAATTTCAATAATTTACCAAATATATATATAAATCAACATCATGTTCAGAATGCTTGCAACTTTGGGATACTCGTAAATATCTCTGTGGGTGTAAAGGAAGCCATGCACAAAACCTTCAAAGGTTCAGTTGCTAAAACGAATTATAAGAATATAGAATTTGATTTCATTCGTCGGCATAATACATTCCAAACAATCCGTTATCTAATCAATAGAGGCAGAAATAGCCATTTCGTAACTATAGGGCAAGGTTTTCAAAATTTTACAACAGATCCATTACTTAAACCCATATTATCTGGTTGGTATATGATACAGAATATTCAGGAAGAGGATACAGCTAATGTTAGTAGTATATCTATATTAATTTTCAATTACCAAAATTCAAAATATCGTCGAATTTTCAAAACTGTTTAGCCAACATAGTAAATATAAACCCTAAACTAGGTAATATTTTATATTTATTACATATTTTTGATTTTTGATACTTTTAATATGTGTTAACATATCCTTTAGAGTTTATATTATGATCTTCAAAGTTTCTGTTTTGATAAATTACTAAAAATTTTATATCAATATTTGTTACAATCATTGTAATTCTTGTCGCAATAGATACAAATGTTACATCACATGATGATAAAATAAGAAATATTAAAACACGAAAGCATCTATTGAAAAGTGAAATTCACTAACTTTCTTTACCTATAAATCTTGATAATGATCTTCAGTTCAACTATGACATTATAAGCGCATATAATATTTATATGCAAAAAAGGGCCATGTTAATATATAGATGTATAGAATTTTACAAACAAATAAGTTATATTTTGTTAAATAATGATGGCACGTTTGATGCATATATGAATTTGCATTGTGGTGACATAGTGCAAATTCAGAAAGAAAATAGTATATCATATGCTATATTAAGGGGGATATTTACGCATAAATATAATGATAGTTTAATATATTCATTCATTTGGGTTGACTGGTTGCAGGAATGCTCAATACTTGATTCAATTCTTCAATGTTCAGTTTATGAAATACAGGCAGCTGAAAACATGCGATGGCACCGAGTTTATCCAATAAGCCTTATAGATAGCTTATCGAAGGTTCATTTTGTACACTGCTATCATTCTACATGTACTTCAGCTTCATATGATTTCTTAAATAACCAATACTTTAGAAATAATTTTTATTATACAGCAATTTAAATAATATGAGATGCATCAAGAAAAGAAAATTTGAATTTTAATATCGAATTTAATTATTTATATAAGAATTTATTTATTAATTTTATTTAAGAATCTGGTATAATGCTCTCGATTGGTAAGTAAAAGTTAAAATCATTTTTTTAATGTATAACAATTATTGATCACAACCTTCAACTTAAAAATTTCATAAAAAAAAACTACTAATATAATGTATAATATATAAGTGATGAAAGGAAAAACCTGTAAATCATTTTACTCATTGAGTGAGATGATTTACAGGTTTTCCCTTTCATCACTCATTTGTTATTTATAGAGATCCTGGTTATAGAAAATGCACATATTGTAATAAAGATAGCAGCATAACGATTCCAACATAGATAAATGGAAATAATGATAGTGATGACTGCACGAAGGGGTTCCAACTTAGAATTAGTGCACAATTGAATAAATTCTATTTGACTAGGTGACATTGAAAAATTAAAGTAGTTTGCTTTGTATTTTCTGTAAACTGGTTGATAGTATGTGAAAACTTGAAATAATTAAGATGATAGCAACATTTAAGAATTTGTGGACCTTCTAGCACCATTGCACTTAAGGCTTGTCAGTTCAATAGAAAGCCTAAAGAGTTTTGAAAGAAGTAAGTCAAATCATTATCTATCATACAGATTATTAAATGAAGTATTTTTGCTTTGAAACCAGGAGCACACTTAGATCATTTGACTAAAGTAACATTACACGATCCTCATATTTAATCACCAGTTATGTTACATGAGTTATTTGTTTATAAATGTTAAAAAAAGTATTAATTCTTATTTTAATAAATAGATTATCGTTAATGACACAGATGAAAATGCAAAAGTAAGGCACACAAAAGTAAAGCACTGTTTATTATCAAACGTTACTGATGTAAATAATTTCAACAGAATGTATCAAGTTGGTTATTGTTATTGTTTAAGAATTGAGGAGTTAAATACGGAAGTAGCAGCAATAAGGTACTTGTTTATTGTTATTATTTGAATTAAACAAATGTAGGCAAGTAAAGGACTTGTTTATTATCAAATTTGCTGATATGAACAATTCTAATGAAACGTATTAATTAAGTTATTGCTATTGTTTAAGAATTGGCTGTAAGTATAAATTATTTAATGAGATTAAATTTGATAAGTCATTTGTTAATTGGTTTTATTATCATTAAATTTGATTTTTTATTCATTAGAAACTTCAATAATTTAATCTTTTATGCTGTAAGTATAATTAACATACTTCTGCTAATCTATGTACTATCAAGATCACCTATGTATTTTACATGGCAAAGCACTATAAACAATATGCAACATCAAATAAACACCTATTCTAATTATAGTCGTGGATGTTTATTCACGATAGGATCACCCAACAGTATTTAAAATACCAATCAAAAAAATTTCACTAGCCAATCAGATTTTAAGATCAGGTCTAACGTAAAAGAAGTACAAAGAATCAAACCAACAAAAAAAATGCTTATAGCTTAAAATTTTTCTAATGAAAGTGCCTTCTGCACACTAACAAAAATTTTTCCTCTGGAAATTTTACTATAACTATAACACTTTAAGCCAAATAGTAACTTACTAGTAGGACCCTAACCCTAAACTAATTCGAAATATTTTTCTTTATAGTGAAGTTTTTTTTTAATAAGATCACATAATGAGCAAAATTTTTTAAACTGGCATTGTTAGTTCCATAGGAATGCCCTATCTAAAATTTTACTTTATTTGAAGATTTATTGATCAACTATGATAACAAATCTATGTCTAAGATTATAATGTCTGCCAAATTTTTTTAAAAAATGATCAGGCCACAGGTCACTTATTCAGGATCAACAATTTTATTTATAAAGGGCACTTATTCATTATAGGGGCTTATTATAATAGAACACAATACCATAGGCTACTGCTTACAGTATCCAGAATCTTATTCAAGAAATTACAATCGCAAATTACTTGACATTTATCAAATCAGAGTAGTGATAACTTTATTAATGTTGAGGTATGAAAATAATTCATATGTTTATTATTTATTAAACCTGTATTGGTTTTTAAAATTTTGTTTATTAATAGTAGTCTGACTGCAAATACTCCTTGGTGAACATAAAGTTACTAAAAGTACAAAGTTGGCAATTGTTCGAGTTCAGATTTCCTAGTGGGATCACTTTTAGATACAGGTGATCTATAATTATTTGAAATCTTATAAGTAGTTTAAGGATATTAATAGTGTGTTGGAGAAAAATTAAAACTATGTTAGTGTTTTTTTTTTTATGTTAAAATAGAATAGCGCCAGGCAAAACATTGTTATTGACCTATTTGGATCATCATTATAGACTCCTAAGAAAAAAAAACCTTCAGTACATCATTATTGATCTATTAAAAAAAAAAAAAAAGAATACATCATTATTTCATAGTTACCTAATGTTGTCACATGAGCTTTTCGATTGATATCTCAAGGTAAAAATTAAACTTATTTAAAAACTGACTATTTGTTTAATCTTATTCTTTTTCTATCGAAGTATTAACCAACTTTGTGTATTCAATTTGATATTATTATATTACGATGTACTAATTTTTTTGTTCTTAGTAAGCCAACAATGATGGTTCAGGCATAATTCATGAATCCAGAAATCTCATTTGTGGTGAGGAGTTACTTTATATAGTAAGACATTATTTTTGAGAGATACTACAAGCAATAGTCTACAGTAGTTATTTATTTTCTTGTTTTTGGTATTAGGATAACTTTTGATTAATATTTACTTACTTTCCGCCTTAGAATGTAGCTACACTTTTATCATCATTAATATTGTCAACTTTCCATTGGTATCTTTGTTTGAATCATTTACATCAATATGTTTTGCTTTGACTTTAATTAGTGCTTCCATTGGTGCTTCTGTTGGTGCTTTCGTTAGTGCTTTCGTTGGTGCCTCCATTGGTGCCTTCATTAATATTTTATTATCATTTTGTTACCATATTTTCTGCCATCTTCGTCAACAGTTTTGTTTTTACCTTGTCATCATATTCGTCTTCGTCACCATATTCATCTTCGTTGTCATATGCATCTTCTTCTTTATCGCCATATCTGTCTCCATCTTCATCATCATATCCGTCTCCATCTTCGTCACCATATCTGTCTCTACCCTAATTATTATATTTGTCTCTGTCTTCATTGCCATATCTGTTTTCATCTTCGTTGCCATATCTGTCTCCACCCTAATTACTATATCTGTCTTTGTCTTCATTACTATATTCATCTTTAACTTTGTTATATTTGTCTTTATTGTCATATTTATCATGATTTTTATTATTTATATTTTTAAAGTGATTTAATTTTCTTTTATAATTAATTTATATATTATATTAGTATAATAAAAATATAAAATATACATATAAATTATATAATAAAATTAAAATTAAAACATGAATTATATATTTATTTTTATTTTTTTAATATTATTATAATATATTTACAATGATTTTTTAATAATAAATATATAATTTTATAAGTATAATATTTATGTTTTTATAGTATAATAATAATACAAAATTATATTTTTACAATGCATTATATAATGCCAAGTAACAATGTTAATAATAATATAGTTATTATATAATAACAATATTGTTAAATTTTTTAAGAGTTTAGCAAAGTACAAATAACTGTATTATAGGTATCGGCTGGGTCCAAGTGGACTCTAATGATTAAGTTATCCACAAATTCACTGCCCAAGTTCACCTCTGGTCATCCTTTTACAAGGCTGAACTTTTCTTTATTCTGTCTGCTATTTCAACTACCTTATGAAATTCTATATTAACATCTATACAGATTCCCAATCCATAATATCAAAATTTATTCAACTTAATCAATTATCTCTAAATCCTAATAAACTCTTTAAATTTAATTTTTAGCCATTATGACATACCTTACTAAATATTATTAAGTCATACAAATTAAATATTATTTTCTATAAAGTTCAAGCCTACTTAGACAATACCCTTAACAATCTAGCAGATTCACTTGCTAAGCAATATACAAACGAACTTTCATTATATTTTAATTATACAAATATTCATAACCTATATTATTTATTATTCTTTGAAACAGAAAAATTTCCTGTTGAACTTCCTACTAGTATTTTGTTAAAAGTATCTGTAAAGCTTACAACTTTGTACTATGATTATCACAAAAATGAAATGATGAATAGACTCCATTAGCCCACTATATCAACTGGAATTCAACCTGGCTATATTTTAACTATAACCAAAAATCTATCTACAACCTTACTAATTTTAAACTTAACCAATCCAAATCTTTTAAAATTAAAATACTTCTTAATGAATTACCTAATCAATACCTTTATCATAAAATCTATCTTCTAATCTTTCATAATGCCAACTGCTTTCACTGCAATTCAATTATGTTACTATTACATTGGTGCACTTGTGTCAATTCCTTTCTGCTTAATAACATTATTTCTAATGCAATAACTAATTGTGTAAACTTAGCCAATTTAGATTTCTTTAACAATAAAACTAAAGAACTTATTCAAAAAATTAAAGACCATTCAGCTTTCAAAGAAACACCTCTTCACCCATCCTTACATTACTTAGAAATTACTCTTAAAGGTTTTATTCATCTATTTCTAATTAAAACTATTTAGGATTTAGAAGTTCCATATAAACTAGTATTAACACTCATGATTAATATTCTGCTTAAAATTAACAAACAAATCTATAAACAATTATGAAAACCCTACTGTATTAATTTCTCAAATTAAAAAAAACAACAACAAATAACATATACATATACTACACAACAAACTTTTATCTTTTTTTTTTTTTTTTTTTGGTATTAAGGTGAGGCCTTGCTTATATCTTTATTAATAATTTAAAATAGTTACATG